GTCGCAACTGACTTTCTAGACCAAAATACTGAACATGAACAGGGTTTGCCTGTCTCCTGCACCTCCAGAAGGCATTCAGCTCTGCGCTTCTCCCCTGGCCATACAGTGCCATGGTCACGTCCGATGTTAAGCTGGTAAAGTGCAATCCTTCATATGTGCATCTTCCATTTTCTCCAACTGTCTGGCGCCGTCTTTGGAGACAAGTCAAACACTGGAGTACTCAGGGGAGAACTACTGTCATTCAGTAAGGGAGGAAATACGGATAAATTTCCACATTTTACATTTTAATAAAGACACGTCGATTTGTTTAAATATTTCCCAACACATCAGCTTTAACATCTTATGTTGTAATCTGTCAAAGACAGCTCACTGCGATGAAAAAAGTCTTCTTTTCTCAAAAATCAGAAATCTTTATCACTTAACATTTTCCTCCTCCATTGGAAAGTGTGAAAATTAAAGGAAACAAAAATGGCACTGTTGCAACAGGAAGCTCACTTTGAAGATCCTGAGGATGTTCTTAACGGTATGAGGAAATGATATTAAAAATGAAAGTGCCTGCTTGTTGGGTACTATTTTTGAATTTTGTTTTCAAACTGCACAAGTGCTGTGCAATCCTTGTAAAAGATTTAAGTGTTGTAGAATGATACTTTTGGAGTATCCCTTTCTTATAGCATATCTCAGATTGTTGTGAAAATTACACATAAAATTGTCAGCATATAACATATAGTGTGTCTTCCAGAGAGACTGTATAGAAATTAGACTATACTAACTTTCATCACATTTGCCTCTGTGTCACACTTTGAATAATTTAATATTCACAATGCCTACAATAGAATGAAAAAATTACTAGGCACTTTTAAAAGGCAGAAAAACTATAACCTATAATATATCATTCACAGAAATATCTAGAGGTGACTCATATTTAGTTGTTAAGGGCTTTAAAACTGCTATTAAGTATTAGATGAACAGATGGGTGATCTCAGCAGAAAAACAGAAATTATCAAAAGTAGCTACATGGAAATTGAGTAACTGAAAAATATAGTATTTGAAATAAAAATACTATAGTTTGAATTCCAAACAGAAACTTTCTAAACTGAAACACTGATATAAATAAAATAGAAAATAATGCTCAGAGGCTTAATGATCTGTGTGATATCAACCTAACATACAAGCAATCCAAGTCCTAGGAAAAAAGGACATAAATATCAGAGAAGATTTTTTCTTATCTTGGTTTTTGAGCCAAGGTCTTACTATGCAGTCCAGGCTGGCCTCAAACTCATGGCAATCCTCTTGCTTCAGCCTTCCAAATGCTAGGATTACAGGTGTGCACTGTTACACCCAGTGAGAGAAATATTTAAAGAAGTAATACTCTAAATTTTTTCAAGTGTTAAATAATTCAACTCATCACTCCAATGAGCTCAGAACTACAAGGCATATCAAAGTCAAACGTCTGAAAATCAATGATAAAAAGGAAATATTAGAAATAGCGAAAGAAAAAAGAAACTGCCAGACAACAATAATAAAAATAATCTTTAACTCCTCATCTGATACAATGCAGACCAAAATATAATGAGGCAAGATCTTCAAGGTACTGGACAAGCAACTGACTGCTACCTAGAATTCTACATACAGTTAAAATATTTCCAAAAAGTGAAAGAAAAAACTAAAACTGAAATAAAGACATTTTCAGATAAATAAAAGCTGAAGGAATTCACTACCACCAGATCTGCACTTTAAGAAGTACTAAAGGAAGTTCTTCAATTTAAAATGAAGTCATAATAGATGGAAAATGTCTAATCAAGAAAAAGGACTAAAAACTCATAAATATTTGGAATGTACCATGAACATCTGTATAAATTTTTATGGCGTGTGCCAGATTATAAAGCTTGTCTGTTTTCTGGTCAGATATGGTTCTGTAGCTAATTACAATAGTGACTCACAAATCAATGTCAGTGTGACTCCAGGGGAATTTCTCTCTGCATGCTAGGAACACTGGCTTCTCTGCTGATTTTTTTCAATGCTTATAGCTTATTCAGAAAGTGTTATGCCCTCAATCTCAGGGTCCTCAGCTGTATCACAAAATTTCTGCTCACCCACCTGAGCCCACACAGGACCCAGGGGCAAGAGGAGTCAATCAAAATATGCTGCTATTCATGCTGCTCACTGTACAGTGAATAATAAAGCCCTTTATCTCTCACCTATGAGTCCCTATCTTCTGCCAGCACCTATGAAACATATTAATTCGTTAGCTTGCAAGTAGAATACAATCTCTAAATCTTCAGTCAGAACAACTGGTTAAGCAAAACAACAACAGTAATAGTAATAACAATGTACTGTTCAATTTTATAATTTGTAGACATTAGGAAGTTAATATGGGCCGTAGAATAGAGTGAGTGTGCGTCAATGGAAATGTCCTGTTCCAAGTTTTTCATGGATGCACACTATAAGCTTACAGCAGCACTGTCTAATGGAATAGAACAGGAAACACAGGTGGATTTGAATGTCAGTCTTAGATTTGAGTCTTGGCTCTGGCATTATGAGACTTTGGATAAATTACTCAATCCTCTAAACTTCAGCTTCTATAGCTGTGTCAGAGGTGTTATATAATACCGACCTCAAAACTGTGTAAAATGTTAGTGTTTTACTCACTGTTTAATTAACTAGTTCTAAGGACCATATGGTTCAGACACCAGTCAAGGTATTAAGGATTAAAGGGTAAATGATAAAGTCATTTTCTTCAACAGAAAAGCCAGATGCATAATATCTGTCTGCCTCCCTAAATGGCTATTATGAGGCTAAAGTTAAAAAAAAAAAAAAAAAAAAAAGGGAGAAGACATATTAGGGTAAAAAAAAAAATCAGTGGACATTAAGTAAGTGTTCATATTAAAATGTATAATCTCTTCTCCTTGGCAAAATACAGCAATCAAGCAAAGTGAAAAAAGCTATGGATATAGGTCTGACCCAGCCATTCTGTCCAAAATGTAGTAGATTTTAGTCTACCAATGAGTAGGGAGTAAATTACTCTCATGTCACTTAAAAGAGCAATTTTTCACTTATTCACCAAGCTTAAATCTTCTGAAGCTTGTTCAATACTGTTAGGAACTACTTTTTGTTATTTTTCTTCACTAGCATCATTTTTCACATGTATTACACTTGTTCTCACATAGACCCCAGTCCTGAATTTACAGTGAGCATTGTTTTCTTATGAGAGGTACCAAGGTTTAAGCACCAAATGTGTAACAAGCACTTTTCAGCTATAATGTCTTGCCTTAGTTCTAAAGCTGAAACTTGTTGAATGAAGCTTCATGTTACAGACAAGGTCCCAGAGTGGGCAGTGTTGGGTCCAGAACACAGAGTGATCTGTTTCAGTCCGACCTCTTGCAATTTTTCCCTTACAAACTCCTCTCCTCTCCTGATGGATACTCAGAGAAAGCAATTGCAGAGCCATATTACTTCCTATTTGTTTAAAATATAAAAAATCAGTCACACATCTCCTATTGCTCTTACCAAACATGCACAGGTCCCCAAGGAGACGGTGTACTCCAAGCTGTAGCTGTAAGAACAGCAGCCATGGTCCAGAATTGACAAGAGTGTTAGGCAGCAAAAGCAATGTACCCTGAGAATTCATCTTTTCCCATGTGACTTCTCAGTTAATCGCCTACAAATATCAAGAAAGTACCCAAGTAAATACAATATCCTATGTCAAGAATTCGTTGTGTTTTTTTTATATATTATCAGCACTGTACATTTCATTAATAATCTGCGTCTTCCTCAGAGTAAATTTAAGTCTCAAACAAATTTCGCAGCAGAATTTTCTCTACCTGCACCACATTGTAGGCGTTTATCCAAGGATAAAGAGCACTGTGTAAACGGAGGTGACAGTAATGTTCATTGAATGGAGTTTTTATGGCCTAAATTCAGCAGTCTCTTACCTTCTAGTTCTTTCATTCAAATTTGATATCAAAATAGAAAATCGGGCAATAAGCGTGAATAAGAATTTACAAAGGAAGAAATATAAATGACCAGTAATAAAAACGCAAAAAGAAATGTTCAGTTGTACTAGTACCAAAATACAAATAAATACAAGCAGAAACCAGGATCTGCCTCCTAAACTGACCAAAAGGTTTAAATAATAATGCACTGTTGCTGCCATGATTGTTAAATTCCTCAATATACTTGGAAGAACAAATGGTAACATACACAAAAAGTCTTAAATATCTGGCAATGCTTTGTCACTTGTAGGAATTTACTCCAATGAATTTAATTATGACAAAAAAGTGACAATAAGAAAATTCATTATAGCATTATCTTCTGTTATTTTGCTATTAACAATTGATTAAATTATTAACTGATAAAATGAATCACCAGTCAGTCCATACAGTAGAACACTATCTAGTCAGTCATTAAAAGGTATCCAAGAGAAGAATTCTAAATGATCAATGTAGGCAGTGATGCAGTGTGTCAGAGCATGCACAGTGTGTGCAGTATGATTGTGTGTGTATTGAAATGATGCTTCACAAAATGTAAGCAGTGATCACCACTGGGCATTGAGATTATAGGTGATCATTTTTCCCTTTTCTTTAGTTTCCCTGCTCCACAGAGGAGAGTTAACTTGCATATCCCAAAGGCTAGATTTGATTAAAATGTATTACTTAAGAATGAGAAGCAAAAAGAGGAAAAAGAAGCCATACTCTGTTAATTTGTTAATTTCTTTGTTAATTTCAAAGAAAAGACACGCACTTTGTTAATTTCTTGGGTGGGGAAGGAAAGTCCTTGCTCAGCCTTGTTGGTATCAGCCTACTGAGTTCAGAAGTCCAACAGCACAGGCCAAAAAGACAAGCTGGCTGAACCATACCATCTTCTGTCTTTCAACCATGCAGTCTAAAAGGTTTTATTGATATAGATATGTGCTGGGCATTGAGAACACAAAACTGAGGAAGAAAAAGAGAGGAAGAAAGAAGGATGAAAAAGAGGGAAGAAGTAAAAAAGATACCCTGGTATATTATGTATGAGTCTATCTTAGTTTTGCATTGCTATAACAGAATATCTGAGACTGGGTAATATATAAAGAAAAGAGGTTTATTTATTACAGTTCCAGAGACTGAGAGGCAGGGATCTGGTGAAGGAATTTCTTGTATCGAAGCATAGCACAAGCATCACATGGTAAGACAGAGCAGAGCAGCTTTTATAGCAGAGCTATTCCTTGACAAAGCCATTAGCTCAAAAATATAATAACCCGTTCACAAGAGGTATCATTACCCAATCACCTTTCAATGGTCCCGCCTCCAAATACAACTCACACATTTCTGTGGGGATTAAGTTTCCAAGGCATGAATTCTGGGAGCAAACATTCAAACCATCACACCGAGCTTAACTAAGTGACTGACTATGTGCTGTGCTGTGGGAAGGCAGGGTCCTCAGGGCTGTGCAGATCCATTTGAGAACCAGTCACCCAGCCCTCGTACAGCAGCTTGTCCCAGGACACTGGCACTACGCTGAACCATCAAAGGAGCATCTGCGTCCACACAAGGCAAGGGTTCCAAGCAATGCAGGATGTGTGCCCAGGATGCAGGAGCCTGGAGAGTGGTGGGTCAGCAAAACTGAGATGCGGAGAGCCAGGCCAGCTGGAGAGAGAGACACCAGATCCAGCAAGCACTGGGAGGCTCATCTGGGAAATACCCTGAGGGCTCTAGTGAGGCCTCCCTTAAGATTCACATTCCAGAAGGTAACTCTGGGTGCAGATTAGAGGATGGACTTGAGAGCTGGCCATGGTCTATCGTTGAGACCTGTCTGTCGAGTGGCGGCAGTGGAGATAGATACACATGAGCAGAATAAGAGATCCCCTCTCAGCACAAGGGCTTTGTGGGAGACAGATTGTTGCTCAGTGACTTCATCCTTCACTCTCTAATGAGTGTTCTCTGATCCTATACTTGAAACCCAAGACAAAGAACAGACCAGATTTTTGGGCAAGAAGTGACAACTCAGGGCCAAGGACTTAATTAAATCCCAGGTGAGCAAAGGCCACAGCCACATAAAGCACCATTTTGGCAGAAAAATGCAAAGCACTTTCTCCCCACTTTATTAAAGGGTAACCTTACAGTTGGTGCTCACAGAAGCCAGGCTTCAAAGGAAAAGCTCAGCTTCTGAATGTTAAGCAGCTTGGCATGAAATATCTGACTTTTAGTTTCAACAGTGTCCTGGGAGACAAGAAAGGCGCCATCCATGGGACTTACTTAAAGGCCTGTTCTGCCACCAGCTACCTCATCATGCAGCCTGTCTCTTCTGCAACTCAGGCTCCTGTCTCCCATCACCACTTCAAATTCTTACAAGTCATGTGTGTCTGTGCGTTCAGTCATTCACCATGGTATCCATGACCTGGCGTTGGCCAATGACTACAGTCTACAATCCAGATGACAAAGAAAGTTTGAGTCTTCAGGAAGTGCCCACTACTGGTTTCCTCTGAAAATAAATAATATTAATACAAACGATTATTATCATTTCTTGATTATTATCAACCTTTTTTATAGGTAAATAAACATGCACTCAAGGAGACCATGACTTGCCAATATGAGAGTGGAACCGAGATTCAGCCCACACCTCTCAGACTGCAAAGTCTAATTCCTTTGCAATGTCCCAGTCTGGCCTCTCCATACGGCACAGAGAGAAGCCAGGGCTAAGCCTGCTCCTTGCAGCCATATGGGCCAACTCTCATCCCTTTCCAAGCAGAGGGTGGATGGTTTGTTTGACATTGGTAGAAGTAAGCTAAGCAAGCCAATATGCATAGTTGTAAAGGGACGTTTTCTCAGAGGTCAAGAACTTGGGCTCCGAAGTCCATCTGACCTTCAGTCACCCTACCACATGTGTGAAGGTGGACAGATTATTAACTATGCCTCAGTTCTCTCAACTGAAGACGGAGGATCACACACAGCAGGCCTAGATACTACTGAAATCCTGGGCAGAGATGTGTTCTGGAAATCAGAATGTCTTGATTTTAGAGAGATAATAGAGTTTAAATTTCATCACACTCCAGTAGGGTCTGGTACAGGATGCAATGCACACTAATCAGTCATATGAATATTTTTATATGAAAAAGTTAAGACTCATCTAAGGGGCATAAAATAAAACTACAGTGTCATTGGTTTAGAAGGCAGTTTTCCTCCAGCCAAACAATTACCTTTAAAGGAAAAAAAAAAAAAAAAAAAAAAAAAAACACTTTCAAGGCTTTGAAACTGCAGATTTGCAGAGAGGGTTCAGTGGGGAGAGGGCTATGGTTTATAGAGCTAGTCCACCTTGCAAGGTTGCTGTGAGATTTAACTAAGTGAGGAAATGTGCAAGTGTGCATACATGCATGTGTGCCCATGTGTGAGTATACACATTTAAAAGAATGTCTGGCACATAATTGGGGTCAATACTGTCTGGTTATTTTTTTATTCTGAAAGAGAAAAAATGCAAGCAACTTCAAAGATTATTATTGATATGTCAAAATTGCTTCAGGGCAAGTTTAGTACTCCAGGCACTAGAAAACTCTCTATAAGATCATTTCAAAAAAATTCTGGGTGGATCCAACAGTTACCACTAGAAGAAATAAGTCCAAACAAAGAAAGCCCAAGAGGGTCTAGGGAGTGTATAGCAGTGGTAGAGAGCATGCTCAGAATGTTCAAGCCCTTGGGTTCAAATCCCTAGCAGAAGAAAGAAGAAAGAAAAGAGAGGGAGGGAGACAGGGAGGCAGGGAAGACAGACAGGGAGGGAGTTAGAGGGAGGAAGGGAGAGAAAGAGAAGGCAAAGAAGGAGGGAACCCCTAGGGATCTGGCTCAAATATTGCACTCGTTGTTCATTCCAACTACTACCTGCCCATCCAGCAAAACATACACTCCACTAATTTGGCTTAAATGTAACAAGAGCAGACTCCATAGCGGCAGCTAGAGACTCTAACCAACCAGAAGTGAAGGTGCATCCCATGCTATGGATCTACCTACAAAAGCAAATTAGGATTGCTTCTTCATACTACATGAAACCATTCTCCCATTCTTTAGTACATTTCTGATTTTCTCCACAATGTTTTTCTTCAGTTTGTTGAAATCACTTCCATCTTGTCAGGATGAAATCTTGAAAGCATTCTCAACTGGCACAGCAGTGTTTTAGCTGCAAGTTGCTAATTTGTCCCATGCTGTAGAGAATTTTTATAGAATGAGCATCAGTCCTCTCAGACTAGACTTCCCTCGCCGAATCTCAGAGCAATTTTTTCTACTTGAGTCAGAGACTGCTGCAATTTATTGCTCTTTAAATCATTGGAAAATTGGTCAGACTGATCTATAATGCCCACCTCTTTCCTGGCCCAGCAAATGTGTTCCAGTAGCAAAAATCATTTTTGTTTGTAATTTGTCATATAATTTATAGATCCATTTAGAGACCAAATACTTTGCATGTTATGTTTCTGTAGTAATTAAACATTAATAATGATAACAAATAGAGCAACACTAAAAAATGGGGGAGGGTGGTTTGTTAGATAAACCTTATACAACTTGTTCATTAGAGCACAGTCATTAGAAAACCCTCATGAACTAGTAGTCTGGAGAAGATTTGAAAGTTTATAATACATATGCAACAGCCAGTTGAGTATATTTCAGAAAAGTCAGTCAAATTTTTTATATAGAAACCAAGCACTTTTCCAACAAGCAGTCTATTTTCTTTTGTTAAACAATTTAATTGAACAAATTTGTTCATTGTCTATGTCTTCCCTCTAGAATGTAAGCACTATAAAAGTAAGACCTTTGTTTTGCTGTATCCTTGGTACTTGGAGCCATAGCTGGCAAGATGGAGATGCCTAATAAATGTTTATTGAATAAATTATCGACTCAATCTGAGGCAAGTTGACAAATTTAGAAAGCAGGTGGCTGTTCTCTGTACATTTGCATCAGATCTGTACATACAGTGTGTAGCATCCAGATCTCAAGAGAGTATGTGGGCATCTTGCCCTTTCCTTGAGCGATTGTGAGAAAGATTCTCCTGAAAAGCTCAGTGGGATGGCGCAAATCCTATGAGATATTTGTGTAGCTCACACAATGGAGGATGTGAAAGTAGCTGTAAACTCACCCATGGGGGCTGATAAATGGTGTTACACAGGAAGTGGTATGGCTTCCTGAGTTCCTCACAATGGGGGAGCAGTTTTCAGGTTGCACTGAACCTGGAAAACAGAAGCAAGTTGAGATCAAGCCTGTCTCCTTCCACTGTGATGTGGTAGAGACTCAGAGATAAGCCCAAGGGGAAGGAGCAAAGCAGCTGTGCAAAACAAAGGGAGAGTTTTGTTTAATACACAAGCACGCACTGCTTAACTTTGGGGATATGTTGTAAGAATTCTGCTGTTTGACAGTTTAGTCATTGTGTTGAACATCACTGGGTACACTCACACAAACTTAGAAGGTACTGAAGATTTGCTCCAGCAAGTAAATCTTCCCTGATATCAGCTGATCTAGAATTGTCAAAAATTCAGCTGCTTTCACATCTATGCTCATGGACTCACTGAGCAAAATTCTTTAATCATTTAAGCCACCAAAGCTAACAGTAAATTCAAACCTGCAGTTAGGTCCAGCCTTTGATTAAAACACTGAGAACAACTTTTTGCTTTGGCCAAGATTGTCATGGTACTGAGAGAGATACACTTCTCCATCTGGTCTTCAGTTCAGGTCTTTGGAAGTTTCCCCATATCAGATACAGATCCTTCTCAAATCTGTCTTAATCTACTTGGCCTCCCGTGATAACTGACCCTTCAACAGCATCTGTCACTTTCCTTTCCTTCAAGACAGTCCCTGTGATGCCACAGGATGTGCCAGACTAAAGAGCAATAACCATCACTGATCTCCACTTTTGTGGGAGTGTGGGAGTGGGGATCATTGGGGATCAGTGCTTTGCTCCTTCCCTGGGCCTATCTCTGAGTCTCTGCCACAGTCACTTTTAATTTGGCTTCAGGGTCAATACCTTAATGTGGCTTCTTACTGGCACATTAGCAATGGATTTTACATGGTTAGGGACCATGAGGAAAAATGAAAACATGAGATGAAAAATAAGCACAAAAGAAACAACAAAGCAAGCAAGATATGTAATAACCAAGGTGTATTAGGCTACTGTCAGTCACCATCATATGTGAGGTCTGTGGTTGACCAAGATATTGTTATGTGACACATGACTATAATAAACATTTGAAAGGAATTAGAGAAGAGTCCCAGTTGAATACAAATACTGATGAAGTTCTGCTTGGTACCAGAGTAAAAGAAGGCTATTTCATTAGCATTTAGTGTTAAAGAATAGGTGTGGCCATCAGGTGAAATGGAGAGAAAATTGGCCTGAACCTCCTTCCACCTTCTGGAAAAATACGATGCCAAACAGAGACCAGATGGCTTCCCAAGGGGCTCAGTTCCAATGGGAATGCTGCACCTGCTACTGATACAAACATACACAACTTCCCTTTACACTCATGCATGCACATGCATGCACACACATGCAGTTGAAGGTCACAGAGTGGAGAGGCCTGGTACACTGCACACTCCATGGCCAGCATTTCAGAATCTGTCCTTAAGATATCTGTGGCTCATCCCACCTGTGGACAGGATGCCTCACCCCAATCAGCAGCAGCCTTTCCCTGGCTCACCTTGCCTCCCTCCTCTCCTCCATTCCTTCCTCTTTTCTCACCTCACTCTCTGGGGCATCTTATTTTTTCATGTGGAGCAGTTTCCCCCTAAATTCCTTTTGTAGTTGGACTCCTGCCCCCAGAGTCTCACCTTTCATTCTTCACATTTGCTTAAGCCCAAAGTGATAGCTCTCTTGATAACAATTTTACCCTGTGCATTAGCTTTCTTGTTTGTTGAGCACAACACCTGACACTCACAACTTAAAGAAGAAAACATTTAATGTAGCTCATAGTTCAGGGAGATTCAGTTCATGGTCAGCTGGCTCCAAGGCAGGAACATCATGGTGGAAGGGTATGGTGAATCAAAGCTGCTTAGTTCATGGCCATCAGGGAGCACAGCAGGTGAGCAGTGCCAGAGATGTGCAGAAAGGGACCACATAGAGTACCCAAGGGTATATCTCCATAACCTACCAGACACATCCTGGAGCATGCTCTATTAATGTGGTAAGTATCTCCTAATCTAAGAAAGTAAACATGTCAGGATTAATGGTCACACCCTACAGGAACGAAAGGCACCATCCCCAATCTAACCTTTATGAAAAGAGAGAAACATGAGATACAGAGAAAGTGGACAGTCAAAAAAGCAGAAGATAGAGGACACCAAAGACACAAGATTTTGGCCACAACTTGCTAAAAGATTGGAGGTCAACAGCAGACCCTGACAATATATCTGATGTTCACTTACATATGTATACCCATATTTAAAATTACAATCATAAACTGATTCTAATTTTATTCTGTATAGAACAAGAGATTCTCAAAGGATGTCTTTGTTGTCTTTATAGAGCTTCTGGTTAAAATTTTATGTTAGCTTTCTGTTGCTGTGACAAAATAATTGAGATAAACAATTTAAAAAAGGAAAAACTCTTTTAGTCTCAGAAGTTTCAGTCTGTGGTCACTTGGCCCCATAGCTTTGGCACCTGTGTTAAGATAGCACATGGCAGAGGAAACCAGACCACCTCATGGCACCTGGAAATCAAAAGAGAGAGAGAAGGAACCAGAGGTCCAAACACACCCTTCCATCACACACCACAAATGACCTAACCTCTCCCTACAAGGTCCTTTGTCCTAGTAGCACTAAAGGCTGGAGAGCAACCCTTTAACACATGGACCTGCTGGGGACATTTAAGATCCAAATCATAACAGAACTGAAGACATCATGATGGATTGATTTTTGAAACAGATGGGCCATCAGTAGTAATTTTAGTCAAATCCTGGTTCTCAGTACACAGCAAAAGTAAGGAAAGATCCTTAGAAAAAGCTGCTTATTCTTTTTTCCTATATGGGTGTGCTGTGTGTCCTATCAAATGCCATCTGTCATACAAAAACTAACATTTTATTAAGAATCATTTTTAAAAATCATGTAATCTCGATGGAATATTACTCAGCTCTAAAAGAGAATGAAATTCTCTCATTTGCAGCAATGTGGATGGAACTGGAGAACATCATGTTGAGCGAAATAAGCCAGGCACAGAAAAACAAACACATGTTCTCACCTATGCGCAGAAGCTAAAACACTGATCTTCTAAAAGTAGAGAGTAGAACAGCAGTTACCTTGGAAGTAGGGGAGAAGAAAAAGAGAACACGGTTAATAGACACAGAGGTCCAGTTACATATAAGGAACAACCCATAATATTCTATAGGGTAGTACGGTAATTAGGGGTAATATCATTTAATTGTAAATCTCAAAAGCTAGTAGAAGACAACTTTTAATTTTTCCAGAACAAAGTGATGGTGGAGGTGATGGATACACCAATAACCCTTATTGATTATAATATATCATATACATAAATAGAAAGGCCACACTGCACCACGTGACATTTCCATGTATATCAGTGAAAAACCAAATCCTGGAACCCAAAGCAGAGGTTCTCAAACTGTGACCTTCCCCAGCATCAGCACCACTTCATCACCTGGGAACATTGTAGAAATGGAATTCCCAGGTCTGCCCAGACCTACCAGCTCAGAAACTCCAGGGTGGGGAAAGCCATCCACACAGTCTATGTGTTAACAAATCCCTGGTGGCCACTAATGTAGTAAACTCCCCAGGTCACACTGGGAGGGCCACTGTTGAAGCCATCATTGCCGAACTTATTTGCAGGCTGGTGCCTTTAAGAAGAATCAGTTCCGACGTATCCCTTCCCCAAAATTGCTACTCCCTGACATTGCCCAAGAAATCCAGATTATCTACCAATCAATTCAATGTATTTGTTTCCCTTCATTGGTAATTAAATTCCATCTACTAGTAAAAAAAAAGTCTTTAAGGTGACTTTAATTCCTGTGTAGGCATTCACAGAAATAGTCGATTGACCTAGTGAGCTAGCAGAGATGCAGTCCCACCAGGAGAAGTGGTGCTCTCCGCTGCTGCTGGACTCTGCTGACTTTGGCAAGGTGGTGCTGGGGTGCGGTGAGGTCTGTGGCAGAAAGAGAAAAGCATCTTGGCTTCCAAAGACAGTGGGAGGTGGCATTAATGGTCTCACCGATGACCAGGCAATCAAAGCAGCCATAAAAGGGAAGCCCTGCATTCCTGCCCTGTCACCTCCTTCCGCCAAGCAAACCCAGAAATAGATCAGGGCTTCCTTCTCAGAACTCCTCCCTCTGCCCTGTCTCCAGGGAGCGCATCTGCTGTTCCCGAAGCCAGGCCTTGATCTGCAGCCCACAGTTCACTGCTGAAATCCCAACCCCAACAGTGGAGCCGAAGCCTGGGAACAGTCAAATGCTAATAGGGCAAAAGCCTGATTCCAGGTCCCACACATCATTCTGGGGCCTTCAAAATGCCAAATGCTGCCCGCTGGCCTCAGCAGGTCCCTGGCTCACAGGGCACAGCAGGAACTTTCAGAGACCTGAAAGGCTGCACAGGCAAAACACATGGTGGCCTGTAGTTCCTTAGGAGCTGGGGCTCTCCGAGGCTGTTGTGCAGAGCTGGGGCCTCTGCTGACCTCTTCCCATGAAAGCAGAAAATCAAAAACCAACCTGCACCAGATGCAGACCAATCTCACCCTGCTGCTCCAAGAGCCGAGAGCCCTCGGCACTTTATTCAAACACTGCCTGCCACTGCCTTTGGTGTCTCGCTGTGGGTGTCCAGGAGCTCATGATTTAAGAAGTGAAAGTAGACGTGCACCCCGTTCATGAAGGAAGAGGAAGAGCTTGTAGGCCTGATTACTGTGTCTGTTGTTTCTCAGTCAGTCACACACAGATCCTCACTATGACCAGGTTCGTGATCACACTCCTTGTCTGGACCCTGATTTCTCCTGGCAACGGTAGCTGGGGCGGAGGCACGTCGTGGCCCACACACACAGCCTGCAGGAAGGAGGGCTTGGAAGTTCTGTACCAGAGCTGCGGTAAGGGCTTCCCAGGGGTCCCTGTGCTTCTAGGGACATGAGGGCTGGTGGATGGGGTTGCTTGTGCAAAAAATGTCAAAGGGGAGAAGGGGAAGGGGACAAGCATTTTGTCCACCTGCAGTGAGTCTGAGAGGACCACTGGGGACCCTGGGAAGAGAGCTGAAAGGGGCAGGGGCCCCTCACGAGAGAATAACAAAGAGGGCAAGAAAGAAACATCAGGCGTCTAAATATAACCACTCACAAATTGTATCAAAATGCCTAGAAAAGGAACAAAATGATCAAGGAGTATTCCAAGTGATGAAAATTAGGAAAAGGTGCCTCTAACAGATCTTTTCCCCAAAACTGTACACTTGAGCTAGATTTCCAGGATGTTAAGTTTGCAAGTTGGGACAGTCACTTTTGTCCAAAGATTCCCATCCCTCTATGCCATTTGCAGAGCTTCTGTGGCAGCAATGTCTCCTGTTAATTTGGTAAGCACTCCCAAGAAGTTATAATGCATGGGTTTCTCTAGCACAAGAGATGACAGACATGAGGGCTGTGGTTTGAATGTGTCCCCCTAAACACATATGTTGGAGGCGTTACTTCAATGTGACTGACCTGTTGAGAGATAGTACACCACGAGGGGTGACCAAGATAAGAGGACTCTGGCCTCAGGAATAGATTAGAATTATTACACAAGAATCCAGGGCTGGCGCATGAAAAGGCACAGCACTGTGAAATCTGACAATTTGGAGGTCAAAATGCTGGGGGACAGAGGGAGGCAGAAAGAAAATGCCATTTGAGCATCCAGCTGGCACTCTCTAAGCTGGGGAGTAATGAAGATGGGTCCCTGGGGCCCCACACACAGCTGGTCTCAATGATTGCCAGCCAAAAGCTGGCCCAAGGGGATCCGGGTGGTCCATCTGGATGCCAGGGCCATTTGCAGGACTTGTTCTACTCCTTTACAGAGAAGGAATCCTGAAGTACGTAAAACATTACAAACAAGTGGAGGAATGAATGGCTGGGTGGTGGAAGTGCTGATGTCACCCTGGTTTGTTCAGTGGGGCAGGATGCAGCATGCTGGCATCCCACTTGTGTTAGGTGTGACATGACAACAAGATCTGAGATACCCAGCTGGTCAGTTATTGTCTTTCCAGTTCATCCTTGTGTAAACATTGGTTATGACTAGTCTGTTACCCAGACTCAATTTCAGACTCCAGGTGTCCTTCCAACTCACAGTACCACAGCCTGAAGACTGGGGACGTTGGGAAAGATCAAGGACATATCCCCCACCCATCTGGGACTGGTGCTTCCTTGTGGAGGTGGAGCCACCCCACAGAGCTACTAAACCTCAGAGACCAGCCCTGTTCCAGGCACTAGAAATAAGGAATGCGAGAGACATGGTTTCTTCTAAGAGTAGTGAGAGGGTCAGCCAATGAAACCAGAGATAAAGGCTGTCACAGAGGCAGGCATAGGTATCCGGGGATATAGTGGTCAGACGAGGGTGAGGTTGGTGTCTAAATCCATCAGGGAAGAAATCATTAAGTTGAAACCTAAGGAATTATAAAAGTGGGCATGTTAACATCCTGTACTCATGGAGCACTTGCTTGTATGTTCCAGGCACTGTGTTACATGCCTGGTGTGCACTGTTTTTGTTTTACAGATGTGTAAACTGAGGGTTAGAGACCATATATGCTTTGAGAAATTCTCTTTTATTATTGTTACTGTTGTACTTTCCATTTATGGTGTTTTGAGAAGGGTTGAGTGGCAGAAATCTTGGTTTTAGGCGCCCAGGCAGCCAGTTCTCCGGGAGCTGCAGCGCTCCTGGGTCCGAGTGTGGGCCGGACTCATACCACCGCGATTCCCAGCCGAAAAGCGCCCAAAGA